CGGCCCAAAAGATCAACCATACAACCATAGTGTTCAATTTGAGGCACAATGGAATACTCGCGAGTCATAGATTGGAAATACTCAAATGCCTCTGGGACTAGACCCATGTGAGAGCAAGCGCATAATACACCTATGAAAGTTATTCCATCCGGTCGAACACCAGCTTCTCTCATCTGACTGAACAGATTCAAGGCATCAACTGCTTGACCGTGAACCGCCACACCATTGATTATTGTGTTCCAAGATATCAAGTCTTTATCCGCCATGTTCCTAAAGACATCAAGTGCATTTTCAATGGCCCCACACTTTGCGTACATATCAACCAAACCATTCCCAACATATATATTACCTAAATAACCGATGTTCTTTGCATATGTGTGTACCCATTTGCCCATATCAAGAGCTCCCAATCTAGCACATGCAGACAGCACATTGACAAGAGTGGCATCATTAGGCTGCACATCCGACTCAGTTAACATCCTTTTAAAAACACTGAGAACGTCAACAAAGTGTCCCTTATGAGCATACCCTCCAATCAAACCGTTCCAAGAAAATATGTTTCTTTCCTGCATAGCTCCAAACAGCTTCTCACACTCATCAACATTCCCAGATTTTGCATACCCATTCAACAAGGTATTATGAGACATCAAATCCTTATTTGGCATGGCATTGAAAAGTTTTCGAGCCTCTTTCATATCCCTGGACGCAATATATGCTACAATCATGGTATTCCACAACACGACATCTCGCTCGGGTGCCAAGTCAAAAAGCCTCCTAGCAGTGGCCAAATCATCATTCTCGACAAACCCATTGATCATAGAAGTCCATGTAACTACATTTTTCAAAACCATCTCGCAAAACACTGTGTGAGCACACTTGATTTGCCCTGTTCTTGAATACAAATCGATCAAGGTAGTACCCACAAATGTGTTAGACCTAAGCCCAGTCTTGAAGACAACACAATGCACTTCTTCACCTTCTATCAGAGCAGATAGTTTCCCACAAGATTTCAAAATTATGGAAAATGTATAGCAGCTCGGCTTGTCACCTGTGCTCCACATACGATGAAAAAGCACAAGGACCTCTCTGTAGTGGTTCTTTTGGAGGTACCCTTTGAACATGGCATTCCACAAGGAATAACTTGGGTAGCTAATGTGATCAAACAGCTGGCGAGCAGTAGAAATTTGATTCAAATCAAAACATTTCAGCAGAAAAACAGGTATCGTGTACTCATCACGAGCAAGACCGTGTACTGTGATCTGTGTTTGGATGTGTTTGAGGTTGCTTGGAGTATTACACATTCGCAATAATGATATGAACTTTCCTTCGGGTCTCTGTGGAGGTTTTGATGCAAATTTCATTGCAACTTCACCAACTTTTGGAAGAGACAAGTTTATACCTTTCCCTCCAAACATTGTTTGGTGCAAGTTTGATCAAAGGCAGTGAATATTATATTGAGTATGAATATTACATCAACACATTTGGGTCAGCTAGATTTCACTGACGCACTAATGTCTAGACCCCAAAATACCGCCCAGACACCGCTTAGTGCTTTTACGAACACTGCATAAACAAATGTAAAGAATATCTCATGAACATATCCACCAATATCTTCATTTTCACTCTTTCTTAGCTCAAACACCTCAAAGTACTAAAAACATTTACCGTGGGTAAAACAAAGATTTAAACTGGTCATTACTCTTAAAATTTCATAGGATTGAATGCAAATAATTTCTCTAATTTAATTATGCATATGCTTTTAACTTTATTTGGTATGCAAATATTCCAAAGTATTTGCAATCACTCATTAAAATTCACTCATTAACAGAAAAGTATCACCAGTACATTAAAATCTATTATGAATCATCATTTGAAAAAATTTATAAGAATCAATTTTTGAGAACTCACACAGACATTCTAACAAACAGTTTGCACGCAGCACATCTGTATATAAAAAAACCCACAAAAGCCGAGATTTAAATGCAATGTAATAATGCTGATAATTGATAAGAAACTAATCCTAATAAGTGAAGATGAAATTGAAAACATATACTCCCTAGATTAATGTGTCCCATTTTATTTCAAGAAAAGATACGGAAATATAAGTGGGAGTAGAGAAAATAATGCAGAAACTAACCCTTCATTCTCGTTGGCAAAAGAGATGGTGAGTAGATTGTAATTCTTGCAAAGTCATTGGACCATCCAAATTGACGACTGGCCAGTTCTTGAAAATAAACGCTTAGTGCTTGGTAAAAAACCAATGTTCAATTTTATCAAAAAAAAAAACAAAAAGAAGAACAATATTCAATTTCTAAGTAAATTAAATAAAATCGAGTCAAACTAGATAGATTTTAAACTTGAATAGTTAAATTACTCTCGATTTGTATATATACTAAAACAAAATTTTGAAAGTTCCTAACCAGATATCTCCAATAAAATTTATTTTTATACCGATATAAATTACAATTTTTGTTTAGTATAAGTTCAAAGTTCATCCAGTTAAATTCAATAAAATCAAACCGGACATATACATCTGGACGGATGAAGCATTTAACAATAGTATTTTTTTAGCTTCATTTAATTTAGATTCATGCTAGAGCGATTCCAAATTACATCCCACTTTTGACTTCAATGCCTTTATAGACATCACAGACACCAGAAATTGTTTTGTGTCTGTAATGTCAGTAATATCTGTGAAGGCATCGAAATCAAAAGTGGATATAATTTGGGGTTAAGATTTTTTCATTTAATCTAACACCACTAAGAACAATTGTCTAAAATGCTAGCACCAATTTAAGCATTGTTCCCAAACTTGACTGAATGGCAAAGTGTAACATTGATGCCCCTTTGAACTAAGGCACACAGGCAGGTTGGCATGATTTTCTTAGTACTATTAACTAAATTACAATATAATATATGTATTTCCTTTAGATTTGAATATTACTCTATTAATTCAATCATAATATAAATAATATACTACCCTTTTCAGAAGAAAAAATAGCTTTCCAAATGGTTCTTAAGTTTCATTGTGTAGATTGCTCGAATTGGAAAAAATTCAAATTAACTCAAAAGATCATCTAATCTCCATAAAAATAATCCAACTTATAAACTAATTTTTGTCACAAATAAATAATCCAATTTGAATAAAAGTGATTTTTCATCATATTCAATGCTTTTAGATTGAAAAGAAAAGAACACAAACAAATTGAGGGTCCGTTTGGTATACGGAATTGACGGAATTAGAATTGAATTGGAATTGAAATTCCATTGGATTCAATTCCATAGAATTGAATTCTACCAATTCAAATTCATTTTTTACACTATCAATTCCAAATCCACATAATTTTTGTACTACCAAACACCAGAATTGGATTTGAGGTCCTCAATTCCAATTCCATAATTTGAATTCCGTGTACAAAACGGGGCTAAGGGTCCATTTGGTATACGGAATTAATAGAATTGGAATTGAAATTCCATGGGATTTAATTCCATAGAATTGAATTCACCAATTCCAATTCATTTTTTGCACTATCAATTCCAAATCCACATAATTTTTGTGCAACCAAATATCAAAATTGGAATTGAATTCTTCAATTTCAATTCTATAATTTGAATTCCGTGTACCAAACGGGGCCTGAGTAAATCATATTTGGCTTAACCAACAAATAAATTTAATAATACAAGTATATATGATTATTTCAACAAGTTGTATCTTATTAAAAGCTTTCAAATCATACCTAGACCTGGCAATCGGGTCAATCGGTTTGGTTCCAGTTCGGGTTTTTTCGGTTCGGGTCTCTTTCGGATATATGTTATAATCGGTTCGGGTGGGTTCGGTTCGGGTCAGTTCGGTTCCGGGTTTATTTCGGTTTGATTGGTTTTCGGTTTCAGTTCGGTTTCGGTTCGGGTTTGTATCGGTTCGGGTTTGTATCGGTTCGGGTTTATATCGGTTCAGGTTTATATCGGTTCGGGTTTATATCGGTTCGGGTTTGTATCGGTTCGGGTTATATCGGTTCAGGTTTGTATCAATTCGGGTTGTATTGATTTGGGTTTATATAGATTTGAGTTTATATCAGTTTAAATTTATACTACCTCCGTCCCATTTTATAACGCCTGTTTCGGTTTACGATGTTTGACTGAAATTATTTTCAAACCATTTTATATGACAAATGGTATAGAATTAAAAAATAAAAATTACATATTAAAAAACTACATCAAAAGATCTACAAAATTAGTAGTGACAATAATATTTTATTTTATCAAATTGCTAACGAAAATAGAGAAAGAAAGTGAATGAAGTTTGACCCTGTAAATAGTAAACAAGCATTATAATTTGGGACAGAGGGAGTATTAGTTCAAGTATAATGTAAACACATACATACTAATAAATGAATAAATCACATAATAAATTTAGTTAATTTAGTTAACTATAATTTTTATATACATTCTATAAAAATACAAAAGTATTTTAACTTAAGTTATAAAATGCAAAGTAAAAGATTTGTACATGAAAATAGTTACATGGTTTACACCCATAATTTAAATATGTTTTTTTAGAAAAACATTAACATATGTAAAAATATATAGGTAATTCATTTTCTCTAAATTCATTTGATAAATGAAATATTAATGAATTTGATCAATTTCGGATCTAATCGGGTTCGGGTCTAATCGGTTCCGGGTTTAAACGGGTTTGGGTTTAATCGATTCGGGTTTAATCGGATTCGGGTCTAAATCGGGTCTGAATACATTCGGTTCGGGTTCGGTTCGGTTCGGATCATTTCGGGTGTTCGGTTCAATTTCGGTTCTTCAGTTTTCGGGTCAAATCGGGTTCGGTTCCGGGTTATTCGGTTCGGGTTATCGGGTCCGGGTCAGTTTTGCCAGGTATAATCGTACCCCAATTAGTTAGGACTTTTTCAAGGGACGGGATATTTAGTCAAATTTAACCGACCATTATAATTTTTGTTACACATCAAAAGTTGAATGAATATAGACATTGTGACAATCAGTCACCAATCGGTAGACAACACACAAAAAAAAGTTTAGCATCCCAAAACTGAATATGGGAGCAAATAATGGAACAGCAAAATTTGTAATCGGCTCTTTGTGTTTATCTGTCCTTCATGCAGACAAAGAAAAACCGTTCTCAAGGCATTGTGTCCGTGCGTCTTGCATGACACGCTTTAGCATAGAAGGGTTGCTAGTAACGATAGCATCTACGCGTTTGATTAACATTTCCTTCATGGATACTTCATCATCAACCGTCCATGAGTACACCTTTTTGTTTCTCCTGTTAAGTAAGATAATGTATTGGAGCACATAATAAGCAAAAGTTTTAGGAATGGCAACAAGACCACTCTGTTTGGTTCAAGGAATTCAGAAGGGAAACGAAAAAAGAAAGGAAAATGTCAAGGAAAATTAACTATAGTGTTGGGTTAGAAAGGAAAAGAAAAGTGGGAGGGAAAAGAAAGGATGAGGTAAATGTGAAGTGATTTTCATTTCATTTTTGTAAGGAAAAAGAAAGAAAATGCCGAACTCCTCCCTCATCCCCCGCAACCCCCTCCCTCTCTCCCCACTTCTTTCAAGCTTCATTTTCTCTACGGCAACCAAACGAAGGTATTGAAGAGTAATTTCTATACCAATATCCCTACTAACCAAACAAAATTATGCCTTTTGGTTTCTTTGACTTGCATTTTCTTTTTCATTCGCAATACCTCCAACCAAACATAGTGGATGGGTTATTGCGAGTACCCAACCCGTCTGAACCCTAATCGGATGGATTCCGGTATGTGGAGGGTTTGAGTTGGGTTTGTGAGCTCGTGTATAATGCTAAATGAAGTTGGGGCTTATTCGGGTTAATCAGGTACATATGAGTCAAATTTGGGAAGTATTGTAAGAAGGGGGTTTGGGTTTTGTTAGGTGGGCGGTTGCTCGAACCCATTCCCTCCCAAATAGGTTAGATGGGCCAGATTCTTTTTAGATCCTTTACAGCCCCAAGTAAGTTATGCCACTAAATGGAGTATAGGTAGTATACAATGAATTACTAGAATCTCAATCTCTAGCATTTTCCTTTGTGATATGCAGAATTATGCAGCATGAAGATATTTAGAGTGCATACCCATGCAGAAGTTTCACAAGCTTCTCATCAATTAAATGATGGTAGACGCCGACCACCCCCGCACCTCTCATCCTCAGCAATGGCGTTCTAGTTCCAGTTGAAGGGTCCATCATGACAATGTAACCTACCTATAGTGTCACATAAAACAAAACAAAGAAGTACAGAGGTAGATTAGCCATAGGAGATTATACAAAGTAGACATGCTTAGTAAGGCCCTTACCTAGTAAAATCTCACAAAAAGTAGGGTCTGGTCAGGGTTGTGTACACAAACCTTACCCTTACTGTAAGGGTAAGGTTTGTGTACACAAGTAACACAACCCTGACCAGACCCTACTTTTTGTGGGATTTTACTAGGTCTGTTGTTATTGTAGACATGCTTCATTGGCTTCTCCACCAATCAATCATATTTATAAGATTAAACACACGGAGGAAAAGAGAACAGTCTAGTGTACCATGGCATCTGGTGCAAGGTTCAGCACATCTCTTGGAATGTTGTCACTTTTCGCCCATACAGTGCAATTCTGGAACCCAAATTTTTTGTACTGCAAAAGGGGTCAAAGAGTCCAAGTAAAGCACACAAGTCATTCAGAGTTGGCATAGCTTACGAAGAAGTGTGGCAAACTTACAGAAGAAACAACATCACCAGCAAGTCCTTTTTCAAATAAAGGAGGACCCACTTTTACGTCTAAAACTACTTGTCGCACTGAGCCTGAAATGAGCTGAAAAGACATTCAAAAACCACAAAAACAGTAAAACATTAAATTGCGGAAGGGTATCCAAAACCAATTACAAATTTTCATTTTCTAATGTCTTGCTATGGCAAAGAATTCAATGTAACAAGTTGCCAAGGACTTTGTGCTTTGTGTCTAGCTGCTAGTATCAATTTGTGTGCTTCTTTTATCTACGCTCGTTCTTCGTTAGTGCTATTATGGTTTCTGTGTCTGTTGTTGTAAATTGTGGGAGACTTCCCTTTCCGCTTTGAAGCACGCACTAACAGATGAAAGAAAAAGTGGAACAGAGGGCCCACATCATAATATACTAGAAAAAGGAGGAGAGATACCTTTAGTGCATCTTCAAGTGTAGGCACCGTTAGATCATGATATTTCTGTTGAAGCTCAGAACTTGGGACAAGCTCTTTAATCTACAACCACAAACTAAATATGATCTCATTCAACATCACTTTCATAATTTTGAACAAATTAGTCATAGAAAAACATGTATGTTCCAAATTCCAATATGGCAAATAGTAGCCTCAGACTTTGTCGTTCACGCATGGAACAATTACACCCTTGTGGGAAGAAGCCAAGAAATATAAAGAAAATCTATTTTCATTTCAAACACCAAGAAAGCTAGGTCACTATGTTAGCAATGTGAAAAACAAAAGTAATAATTCCCAGTTCCCACCTCTCTTGAGCTCAAGTACCCAACCTTGGATGTGTTGTTCCCAGATATTCGTTGCAAATCCCTGCCTGCAAAATGTTAGAATCAATGTTCCAGAAAATTTAAGTAACAAACTCTAACAACAATTCATTATTTGCAAGCATGATAAATTAAAATATTATACATTTATAGGGAGATGAATCCACATATACCTGTCATGCAAGGCAAACAAAAATCCATCAGAAGAACGAGAAACATCAACTTCAATACAGTCTACCTGAGAACTCAAAGCAATCTGGTATGCTGTTTTCTGTCAAAAGAAGTTGGTAAGAATTCCCGATTCATTATTCTGGAGGGGAAAAAATCATAGCAGTTCCGCATAGCATATAATAATAATAGTAATAATAATAGTTGTAATAATAATATTATTAATAACAATAGAGCAATGCTCATTCAGCATGACAAAGTTAAGTTAGGTACTTTTGTACATAAAACTTTGTTGATGCCAGTTGACCTAATTTTTTATGATTTTTTATGCAACAAAATAACAAATGCTTTGGAGGTGTTTAGTCAATAATGATAAGAAAGAAATCTCAAATTACTTCTTCGTTGAGAGTTCTATTGCATTGGCTGCTGATTTTCCTTTTTTCCTTACTGTGTAGTTCGAAATTTTGATTTTTGCATTATATGGCCATTTTCAGTTTTTCAGTGAGATCATTTTAGTAATTTCAGTCTTGGTGAATATGCCAAACCATAAATAATACAGAGTACATTCATTCATGTAATTAATCCTGAAAAAATCAATAAGGGATAGTTGCTCCTAGGATACAGAGTACATTCATTCATGATACAGCTTTTGGGGCCCTGGAGAATGAGTTGACCAATGACTTCAAAATGCTTACAGTGTTAGGAAAGGCCTTTGACGAATCACCTCCATGAGCGCAGATCAGAGGAGGATTTCTCAACCAACTGCATTTCTGTTCTTGAACCTGCACAGTAACCAAATGAAATCTAAGAGTCAGCAAAAGACAAATATCTAATTGCTGCTAAAATATATGATCACATAAACTCTCTGCTACGCCCAGAGATTAGTGCACTGTACTTCAATTATTACCACAAGTGCAATTGTTTTTTATACTTTTTAAAGAATTTTCTAAGAGATTTTTGTACTCTACTTCTAATTTGGGGTAAAGTCTTTTACGAGGTTTGTTGTTTCTAAGATGTTCATACTCTATTAAAAATGCTTAATAAAGTTCAGACCAGAGCCTGTAAATGAATGCTGAAATTAAATTGGGCAATTGATATACCTTCACATTTATCTTGTCGGCTAGATTGAAATCATAGAGTGCATTGCTAGCTCAATCACAATACCTCATGTTTAATATACACATACACAGAGTATGGTTTTCATTACTCTGTATTATTTATTTATTGAGGATCTACGGAGTATGATTGAATTAACCAATATCTGTTGATTACTGCATCCCACAAATTGTGTCTGTTTTCTTTGGCTGGAAAACATTAAAAATCTACTGTTTTTTAATAAATTACTGAACACTCAATTCAAAACTGAAAAAGTCTTCAGATAAACAGCACTCTATAGTCTATAGTCCGTACACTCTTGCATAGTAGTATAGTAGGGGCGTAGGGCACATGAGCTTACCTGAATGAAGCGGCGGAGTTTGAAGTGAAAATAGAGAGGTGGAAGAATGGCAATGACAGCGATGCTAATGAGAAGATACCGGAAGATCTGCTTTCTAGAAGTGAACCCTTTAAGTTTAGGATCAAAAATCCGGCTTTGCGATAAGAGACCTCCACGCCTCTCAAGGCGGAGCCGCCGCTTTTGTCTATCCCATCTTGAGATAAACGGCTGTCTCTCCATCAACCAATTGCTCAGACAATATATTGATACTAATCCCTAATTCCAGTGACTAATCTGTATCTCAATGGTAGCTTCTCTGCAATAAAATAATACAAGAAAATCTTAGGCTCAGCATCTAACACTTCAACAGCCAGATCAGCAATGCAGCATACAAAGATCAAACCATTTCAATTGAAAGAACTTTTACCCAATATTCCAACTGCAGGCAAATCTACAGAAAAAATACAGGAATGTTACAAATTTATATCTAAGGGAAAGCATTGTGTGTGATTTACAAAGCAAAACCAACTTTAAGGGAAAAAATGAACAATATACTGCTCTAGGAGAGCAAGTGAACAACTTACAAAACATTCAAGTGAATAAAAACATATATTCAATACAAAGTACTCCGTATAAAAAATTAAAAAGCAAGCAAACAATCTGAAACATGGAAATAAAATCCGTAGAGAGGTGTTTCTTACACATCTTTGAAAACAATATAGGGCCAATTGAAGATATGTAGAGTTGTGATTCAGGTGGTGCGCGAAGCTCACCTGGAAAAGTGTGCAAATTGATTTGTCAAATGTGAGTTTAGTAATTCTAAAAAACATTTGTTTTTTGATGTTGGATTTGGATGATCTGCCAATAATGCCTTTCACTTTTTGTTCAACACACATATGTTTGAACATGCTGCCACATTGTGGCCTAATGTGACCTATGCACTATTGCAAGCCCAAAGAAAAAGTTCATGATGCATATCGTCAGACCTTTGCATTTGCAAAAACTACAGTTGGGATCCTTTTCTTATCCCAATGAACTAAAAAATTAGAAAATAACGACAACAACAAACCCATTATAATCAGAGAGATTATAGCCTTTTGGCATAGACGCATAGTGTGTATATTATTTAACAAAAAAACTCCTTAATGGGGTACATTGGGACCAGCTCAAGTGTGTATAGTGAGCAGGCCAATACATCCAGTCCACTCCATAATGTCTTTAGGCCCAAACCGCTGAAGACCACACTTTTGATAAGGGGATGAAATCCACACGAAACATCTGAGCCGGGAGTGAGGTTCAAGTGTGTCAAGTGGTGGGTTGAGGTAGGCATTAGTGTTAGGAGACAAAAGGTGATCTCCATCTCCCCCACATCCCGCATGATCATGATCCACGATGTCATGTCTTCTTATGATGTGGCCTGTGGGAGGCTCCTACGGTTGAGTGGCCTCTTACTCCCTATTGATATATCTTCTCATGTTCTAGAAAAGGGATCACACTCTTGATATACAGTCATACAGAGGACATTATCTTGCTTAATCCTCTAATTCTGATGGATTAAGCTCCATCACTTCTACACAATCATTTGAAAGAGAACAATAGAATCATGGCATTGAACAAACAAACAATCTAGTAAAAAATTCCCCAGAGTTGTAAAATGAAGACCGAGGATTAACAAAATCTTTAGAAATCTAACTTCCTGTTTGCTTTCCAAAACAATGAAATGGGCATATAATCTGTATTTACAAAGAGCCATGAAACAATCAGAAGTTATGACTTACGCCACAACCACAAATTACCAAATAGCGGAGTATTTTTTTTTTTTCTCTCCATATGATGTCCAAACTTAAGAGAAAATGAAAAGCAAATTTCATTGACAGATGGGTAAAGGTGAAGTTCTACCCTGACATGTACAAAACATTTGACAGATGATAACAATACGGAAATAGAAATTGATGAAAATGAAGGAGGCTTTTTTTATTAAAAAAAATCTAGAAAATCAGGCCATCTCCTGGCAATTCTCCTAGCAAGATGGAAAGAAAAACAACCTACTCCGAGATAGAAAATTTGGGGAAGAAATACTCGCCTGCGCTGATCGGCCGGAAATAGCAGGAATGAAATGAGGCGTTGATGGTCGTCGATCAATGAAGCCGACTGTTGCAGTGTTGCTTTTGCGAATAAAAAATTACTCACTTGGTACTGCAAAATAAAAGTTAAAAAATAACAGAATGTATTGAGGTTAGAATTCAATAGGACTGTATTAAAATATGAATATATAACGAAATATTTGAGAGGATGAAGTATACAATGATATAGATATTGGAACCGTTACATTATAAGTTTTAGAAGACTTCTTTATAAACTACGTTGGCAATTTGGTTCATCTTAGCTGGGCATTGCATATCAAGATCTTTAAACCTCTACGATTTGTGACACGTGAAAGCACTACGTAAAGCTGGCCATGGCTGAATACCGACTTCTTCAATAAAATCCCAACATGCGACAATGACTGTCCTTGACTTTTATTAATTGTCATTGCATATGAAATCATAATTGGGAATTGTTTCCTTTGAAACTTAAAGGGATCCTGGTATCTGACGGTGTAAGCAACAATTAAAGTTTGAGGAATTCTATCTTACCCATGTAACGTTTTGGTTTGCAAAAACTCAAAAGTAGAATCACCGGTTCCTGCACATTTTGGGTCAAACAATTCAAAAACCTTTCCACATATTCTCCCCACAGGGTACATCCCAAACGATTACCCCTGAAATTTTAACATACTTAAGCAAAAGTGAATGTATAATGTTATGAGAACATTTCATATCAAATTTTTTTCATACTCATGATCTTCTAGTGTTATTTTCATCAACTTTTGTTCTTCGTCTATTCTTATGTGTGTTTGAACTTTTGACCGGCCAACAATTTTCCCAATCACATCTGCATTGATTTTCTCGATGAGTTTGTGTGTATGAATGATCTTTCAACAATGTTTGCGTATTATGATACTTAGATAATTTGTTTAAAAAATAATCTAGTACCAATCAAGACTTGATCGTTCAAAATCAGTTGGTTTTGAATTGTCGCAAAAGATTTCAAATCAAACATGAAACGTGGAAAATCGCTTCCATCCAATGTTTTGACTCGTATTTTTGCGTAAAAACCCAAAAGTTTCTCATTCGAGGTGGTTTTGACGGATTGGAAATTGTCATGAACAAAAACATCTCGAATCCCATAAACACCATTCTCCACAATTTGATTCTCAAATCGTTTTTTTTTTCAGTTTTTTGAGATACGCGTGAATCCTTGTGCCCTATACAAACAAAAAGAGTTTAGATTAGAAATAGTTAATATATAAATTACGATTAAGCACAAAAAATTGGTAATGTCATACATGCTCATCGTGAAAAACGACCCCCATTGAATCTCCACCTTTGGTCCAAACGGGAACAAAATACACACGCACGACCCGTAACTTGAACATCAAAGTCGGCCGAGTGTTGCCAAGCTCGCCAACGGGAGACCACATGCTTAAAGAAGATGTTTGAGACATTTGATGATTTTTTTGGATGTTTGAGAAGTGAATTAGAAATGAATGAAGTTTACATCATAATGCTAGAGTATTTATAATCATGCTCCATGATACATGTAACCATGCATTAAGTGTTTTAGATATTAAAAATCTTTAAAATAAATGGATTTGACACAAAGTAAGTTTTTTTTAAAATTACCTTTATGGAGCCACTAAATTTATGTTATCAATGGAATTTTATGGAAGATGATAATGAATTGACATAAAGCAAAAAGCAGTTTTGATGTTTAGAAAAAGGTGCAAGACGTCCACCAATGCAGGCCCATTTCCGTCTACCAATGCAGGCCCATTCCCGTCTACCAATGCAGGCCCAAAACCGAACCAAGGTTCACTTACTTTTGGCGGGAACACTGTTCACCAAAAATGCACTTAGCATTGTATATAGGAGGATAATCTCTTTTAAAATCACTTTAATTTCAAATTGGTAGAGTATTAAACAGTAAAAATTACACCATTTAAAAGTATATGAAAAGCTCTACAAAACAAGATGTGACAAGAATATTTTATTTTATCAAATGGTTAACCAAAACGAGTAAACAAACAAAAGTTATCGAGAGGCCAGAATAGTAAACGTGACATTCTTTCTGGGACGGAGAGAGTAGATTAAATATGCAGCAATTAATGGTTTCTACCTTTCTCTTTTTAATGTCTTTGGTTCCTCTACATTTTTAATCTCTTTGGTTCCTCATCAAACTTTCTCCCTACCACTTCAGTTTTAAATTACTTATAGATTTATTGAAAATGGGTTTGAAGCCCTGGAATACGTATGAAAGCTTCAGGGCTTCAAACTTTCTCTCACTAACACATCAGTTTTAACTTACATCATAGATTTATTGAAAATGGGTTTGAAGCCCTAGAACTTCAAACAGACGCTTCAAACCTTCATTTTTAACATTTTTAAATAAACATCATCTAAAAGTCTAAAACTAAATTAATAAAATTTAATTACTTCATTATTTAATTATATTGAAATGAGAATAATTCAAAAAAATTAAATTCATTAAATTAAAGGGACAATACTTTAGAAAAGATTACATTCATTAAATTTAAAAAAAAATACATTAATAAAAAAATAATGTAAATTATATTTAGCATTGATTTCTATTTGTCTGCTCTCAAAGATCATACGTTTGAAACCCGATAACGTATCAAGGTCGGTTTCCATTATTTCGATCTCTTCCTTCTCTTGCTTTCTTCTCGCTCTCTCTTCTTTTCGAATATTGAACATCCAAAGTTGTTCAACCATTGCTTTCTTCTCGTTGTGGAGTGATTTTGTCATGTTTTCGCAAATTCGTTTGTCTTTTTTATAAATTGAGAAAGTTTAAGTGCAATAAACAATTCTTAGTTTACTAAAAATATGTTGTGATTCTCTATGTGAATAGAAAAAAATCATTGGTTTGAGAAGTTCATGGATATATGTGAAATATACTCATCATTAGGAGAAAAAGCCTATTAAAATACATAATTTATTGGTGGTTTGTGAATAAATTATGTATGAGAGTTGAATGAATAATAGATTCTCTCTTTTATAAACTTTTTCTATAGTGGAAGTATGCTTTCATGATTGAATAGAGAGTTAGGGTTCAAAAGTATATTTCAAAACGGGCGACAATCCTCCATGTCGTGGTTAAGGAAATGAATCGACTCGGCCTTTGATTGATTTTTCTTATTCTTAAGTGCGTAAATTACGTAATTTATCGTCTAAGTGTATATTGTACGTTTAATGTCCGGCTTGTGTTTGTTCTATTTTTCATGTTGTTTCGAGTTCTTGGCGGTGTTTCTTAGATTACTTAAATTGGAGAAGTTGATTATCTTTATAGCTCGTTTTCCCCCATTTTATCAAAAAACCCAAAAAAAATAAGAAAAATAAAAAACCAAAAAAATATTTACTTTTAATTCACCCCCCGCTTCCTTTGTGTTTTTATTTTCTAAGTTATATTATAAGTGTTTGTTGATAAGTTATAAATATAAGTTTTTATACTTTTATATACTAAAATATGTGTTTTGTTTTTATAAGTTATATTATAAGTTCATTGTTTATATAAGTTATTTATAAGTTCTTGTGTTTATTTGAATAAGTTTTATTATAACTTTTATAAGTCTTATCATATTGTATAGTAGTTAGTTTTTTATTTTATTTTGTGACAATGTGTTTGTATGTTAAATTGGTTTGAAAAAAGTATTAACTTTCTCCGTGGAATCGACTCTTACTTGCCCTAGCTATAATTTTTATTTGATTATATTTTGGGTGTTAGTGAAGGTTATTTATAAATTTTTAATTTATTTTGGACCGCACGACGAGTCTTCAACAAATTGTTATATTTTAATATGTTATATTTAAATTATCATTGAAGGTGTAATCTTTACGGTGATTTAGTGGAAGAGTTGCTACATAAGCGTGGGCTCTACAGATGTATGAGAGTTGCTCCGAACTGCGTAAACATATTGTTGTGTCATTTTATTGCTTTGTCTATTTTGGGTTTTCTTTTAAGCGTCATAGAAGGTGTTACAACACTATACAAGGCATCTCACTATAACTTGTGCTACAGCATCTATGTGGCAGACATGACTTTTTGGCTTGTTGTGTGTTTTTTAGATTTGTCTCCTCTTTGGTGTTTGGTTGCCACCACAAAATTTTACAATCAACTTTAATGTTTTGAGATAATAATAATAATCAACATAATAAATAATTTCATTTCATAGAAAAAAGTCAAACATAAACCTTTTTTTCTATTCAATTCTTTAGATAACAATTCAAAAAGGCAAAAGATTACAATACATGGACTCTCCTTTTCGTTGTCTCTGTCGTCATAGTCTCGCTACGACTCTCACGTCTCATCTTCAATCAATATAAATCCTCAAAGCCATGATATACGAAAGACTGAATCGAGGGGAAGGGCCGAAGGGGAGTACTTTTATTTTAGTGGGAGTAAATTTTGGGCCACTTTTAGAGATTAGGGGTTTGGGCAATTGGGTATTTTGATTGGGCCGACTGGGGTAGATTTTATTTTTGACTGCAGTAATAATATGGAAAAGAAAAAAAAATAATTTTTTGTTTGCCCAAAGCCCAACAAGAGGAGACACACATGTGAGGTTTGGAAAAACGTGTTTTCCCCTGTCCAACCAAACTTATTGTCTCGCTGTATAGTATTTCTCCTTCAAGTACATGTATTAGAAAAATTTTGAAAATATTTTACTGAATCTAATAAAATTATATATGTATCAATATTTAATATAATTTCTTAAAAAGTCAAAATTCATATTTTACAAGATGAATCAAATAAAATTAATTTTGACTACTAAAAAATAAAACTGAACAAAAACTTAAAATTATTAGTCAAGAAAAATATTGAGTAAATTTAAAACCGCGTGTAATACTTCTCCCTATAATTATTTCACAAATGAGCGGCGTCTTCAACCCTAGGAATATGCTCAAAGCCTGAGGCTTTCCGCTTCGTCTGGAGCTCGGCTGAGCTTCTTCAATCTCCGATCGGAACTGAGCTTTCGTCTTTATACTATTCGACGGGGGAAACCTGCATTTGATCGAATGGAAGGGAGCTTGGACACGCTCGTCGCCGGCGAGACGCCCTTTCACCGAAGAATCGAGTTCCATTTGGCCCGGAAACCATTCAATGGATTCGGTAATGGCCTTGGTGGGTTTCGCCTGGATACCCTGAACCCTAGTTCGAAGTCGGATTTGGTGAATAGTGCAACGCCGGGGCCTGGAAATCCTCATTTGAAGATGAACAGTAGCAGAGACTTTGATCCGGAGCTTAGCCTCGACACGACTTTCCGAAAAATAATGAGAATTGTAAGTGGCTTGATTGAAACATGTCATACTTTGTATTCAGGAGCAGCTTTTGAGATTAACTTCTCATCAGAAAACAAAGATCATTTTTTTATATTTGAAAAAAAATAATTTCCACTTAACGACATGTGTTGGAAGTATTACTAGGTAGCAATTCTCAGTTACTCTTATATGCTTTATTGATCAATTTCCAAAACATTCTAGTTCTTTTTCCTCTTAAGATCTGAGTGCCACTTTTCACATGTATTACTCAAGTTAATCCATTTGTTATATGTAGTTGTGCATTTACAAGTTTTCAATTTTTTCCTTCATTTTTCAGGGTGCTGGTTTACAAAACCTTGGAAATACTTGTTATCTCAATGCAGTCTTACAATGTCTCACATACACGGAGCCTTTGGCTGCGTACTTAGAAAGTGGGAAGCATCAAAGTTCTTGTGAGTGTCTCTTTCCCTCTTCCATATTTTGGTTATTTTCCCCAAACTAAAACAATGTTCATAACTTCACATGCAGGAATTATGTTTATCGATCTAATTTTTAGACCATACTGCATCTATCTTCACATGCTATTTCTGCCTTCATACAGTTTCCAATATTTGAAAGTAGGAACTACACAGTGGTGCTTGTAGAAATTGCATTTCGTCTGCCTTGAATGTTTAATGCGTGAAAGGTCTCAATATTTTTTATAGGATGCAATGTAGATGAACTTGGTCAATCTTACGTTTATGATTCACCCTAAAAAACATTCACATCTTCTAGATGAAATTTCAAGTTTATCCTAAAAATTTATGGGCAGCTGGTCTTTTTGCGAACCTATCAACTTTGTTAAATTGGGTTACACTCTAGATTATAGTTAATGGGAAGTTCACGGCATGATCTTTGTGTAGGCTGCATGCAACTAGGTTGATCCTCACCAAACTAGAGAAAGTTTACGGCACGACCTTAGTCTTGGTTCCCTTGTACTGAGCTGTATACCTTATTTTAATGTTTATTTTAGTCACACAAATACTTTAGCAACCAAATATTTTAATGCTTTTTTTTCTTTACATTTTTTGTGTCTTCACATGATGCTTGTCCTATGACGACAGTACAACATTCAGCAGGCAGCCAAATATTAGATTCTAAATTTTGACATTCTTTTAAAATCTTTTCTTGTACTTTACGGTATGTCTGTATTCAGCCTTTTCCCCTTTAATCATGCTACGAGCCAAGGAAGCGATACTCTAAAAGATGTAAATTAGCTTTTGATTTTTGCAGCTTTCTTTTGCCATTCCATTTTCCCTTTCCGGTGTTTCAACGTTTATTCTTGTTTTAAGCCGAGGGTCTTGGAAACAGACTCTCTACTTTTCAAGTAGGGCTGCTTATACCTACTACTTGACCAACCTAACAAGATAGGCCCCACTTTGTGGGATTTTACTGGGGTTGTTATTGTTGTAGCTTTTGATTTGTATGGTACTCAATTACTTGTATTTAATAGTGGAAGCATTGGAGTGAAAACACACTAGAGTTGTATACGCTGCCCTCTAGTTTTCAATATGAGTTTTGATTTATACTCCCACCATCCCAGTATTTTTGGGACATGAGGGGGTGTCAAGGAAATTAGGAAAAGTAAGATTATGTGATTGATATTAATGTTAAAAATTTAAAAGTAAGATAACGTGAGAATAAATCCGAACCACACATATATGACCAAATATGTATGAGACAAAAATAGCGGGACGGAGGAAGCAATTATTTATAGGCACACCATTACATTGCTGTACTGTTTTCTACTCATCTCATTAAGGCTGTTTCCTAAATTTTGTAGGCCGTAAAGCTGGATTTTGTGCTTTATGTTCTATTCAGAAGCATGTTACTCATGCACTTCAGGCAACGGGGAGAATTCTTGCGCCAAAAGATCTTGTGTCCAACTTGCGGTGTATCCTCCTCTTGATTTCCATTTAATTTTATTATTTATTTACTCTTCATTCCTTTTTGATGTTTCCATTTTGACTTCATAGGAATTTTAAGAAAGGTAAAATTGTGTGGTTGAAAACCCTATTATTTCCTTAGAGGGAAATGTTACAATTAATTTGGGACATCCCAAAAATGAAAGTGGATAGATAAAAGGTACAAAGTGAATATTTCTTTATTTATTATACATAGGATAATGTGGCAAAATTAGTTAATTTTGCCATGATGATTGAGCCTTTATATTCAAGGGTATCAGGTATCTACACATTCTCTCAAGTGTTAAGAACTATTACATTTGTAACCCCGTATCGTGTGAATGCAAACAATAGTCAAAATTTCAATTTCAACGCCCTACTATTGTCAGCGTCAACTACTTGTCGTTTGTTATGTGCCTGATCAGCGGTGAAGGGATGGCTAATGCTTACAACTAGGCTATTTAACTATTGGTTGTCTGATGTTCAACAAGGAGTCTACTTGTCATCTCGGTTGATGAGTAATCAATGCCTAGCTTGAGTATTAAGAATGAACTATCGAAATGTAAACCATTCATATGACTCAACCCAAAACAAAAGCAGACTTACTAATCTGCAGCGTGGACGCCAGATCTTTAATGTTGAAACACTAGCATCTTCATCATCAGTCTCCTTCTCCTGACCCACTTTTCTTAGACTGAGTTATAGGCTTATAGCTGACTCCAATTTAGCAAGTTTCCCTCCTGTTTAGTTCTTAGATTTGTTTAAACTATGATTTTGTTATTATTTATTCATTTAGTTAGTTTATCTTGGGCTTCTTTTCCGGTCTTAGTTCTCATTTTTACTTTGAATTTTTTGTCTATCACTCTATCTTATGAATTCTGAGTGCATAATGGAGATTTACCACTTAAGCTTGTCTCTTTTGCTATTTTATTTTATTTTTAATCCTTTTGCTACTAAAGTTTTTTGATTTATTGCACATTTTATGTTTATTTCAATTTCAGATTAAATAAATTCACGGCTGATAAAAGATATTCAGAGAACTATGATTCATCTAAGGATTCTAAGTGGAAGTTTTACTCCAAAGTTATTTTCATTTGTGGTTTGTTTACATGATATGTTGGTTTTTTTTTTATTTTTATGATACTGGTTTGCTATGTACTTATCTTTGTGCTAGTTTTTTGCATTGCTATTTTAAGACCTATTCTTCCATCATCTTGGATGGAGCCAAAGATTCACTATTTTTTGGCTTTGGGATATGATGGAATAAAGCAAAATGGCTACTGTTTGTGCTTCTCTTATAGTGAAGTAGCAGTCTGTCTCTCGACGCTCATCATGGGTCATCTGGAAACAATCGTATGTTTTAATTATAGAGGTCAAGCTACGTACATCCGACCCCCGTACCCCACAATGGGCCAAGGAGTCTTTAAGGCACCAAAGTAATGTTGTTCTTGTTGTTGCTATTTTGAGACCTAGGTTATTTAATATATTAAATTTCATATTTCTAAATACATGGAATCATGGATACATTTAGTGTATAATTCATATATATTTTGCAATGTCTTACATATATTGACTTATCCATCCTAGTTGACCAACTAGTCCAATAATCAGTTCTCTTACTCGGATTTGTTTTGTCAACTTGATACCCATGCTCCGTACTTCAGCAATTGGTTAGTGATACCTTTTTGACCCTTGTGTCTCCATGAGAAGTGTTCATGTTTAAAAGTTCCCTTTTCTGATTAGTGGGGGGTGGGGGTACCAGAGTGCAAGCACAAAGAAAAATAAATAGAAAAAAGAATTACATTTGTAGGGTATGTGGCACATATGTTTGGGGTTTGCCTTGACTAAACAAATAGGCATATCTCGGAATTTCAGAAATGCTAGACAAGAAGATGCACACGAGTATATGGTGAATTTGCTGGAATCAATGCATAAATGCTGCTTACCTTCAGGCATTTCCAGTGAGTCTCCTAATGCATATGAGAGAAGCTTGGTTCATAGAATATTTGGTGGCACGCTTCGTAGTCGGGTAATTTATTCTTGATTTCTGTTATCTTTTGATTGAGGGTAAAGTCTTGAGTGAGCAATAGTCTCATTTGCTAATCTCATGTCTGTTATTTAGATCCAACACCTATCAGTGTATCTTTTGGATAGAAGTTGTCTTAATCTCAGACATATGGTCCATATTTCATGAGCCTGCCACGTATAAGTGATGTTCTTTTTTGAGTATTAAGTGAGTATACTGATATGTGATTATTTTGAAAATAGTATTACTAGATGATACATCTACCGTAGAGTAATCAGGTAAACCTCTGGGCTTGAGGCTGTAGTTCATGCTGGCGTGGTTTTACGCCTTAGTTTGTGACTTGTGCATGTGTGCTCTAGGTCTGTGTTGCTAGTGTTGGTGTGTTCTTTTTCTATATCATTACTTGGTTTGTGCCACTGTCTTTACTTTGTTTGTCTATGCTATTGTGTTGTGTGTTGAGCTGGGGGTCTCTTGGAGACAGCCTCAACGGCTCTCTACGTACATCCTCCCCCACATACCCTACTTTTTGCTGGATTTTACTGGGTGTTGTTGCCTTCGTCGGCTGAGATTTCTACTGAATGCGATTACTTGTCAGAAAATTGTGTTTATTCCATTGTCAACTAAATTTTATTATTTAATAATGATTGCTTGCAGGTGAAGTGCATGCAGTGTTCCTACTGCTCTGACAAACTTGATCCATTCTTAGATATAAGTTTAGAAATAATCAAGGCAGATTCTTTAGGCAAGGCATTTGAACGTTTCACTGCACAAGAGTTGTTGGATGGAGGTGATAAACAGTATAGCTGTCAACAGTGCAAACAAAAAGTTAGGGCCTGCAAGCAGCTTACCATTGACAAGGCCCCGCATGTCCTTACCATTCATTTGAAGCGGTTTGGCTCAGATTTAGCAGGACAGAAGATTGTCAAGAAGATACATTATGGTCCAGTTTTGGATTTAAACCGTTTTATGAGTAGCCCTCAAGTAAGTGTGACTTTTTTTTTGGTTAGTGACAGTTGTAAATCCAGGATTGTTTGAGATTATGGCGGGTCTCTTAAATAAAACTACTGTTGTGTGCTAGCTATGCTTAGTCCATGCTCCCTCTTCAATGTTCCCATTTCCTTTTTGCTCGGAGTTTACAACAACAGTTCACTTGAATCCCACAAAAGTAGGGGTTGGGGAAGGTGTGTGTACACATACCTTACCCCTACTTGAGAGTAGAGAGGCTGTCTCCAAAGAGACCCTCGGCTCAAGCATCACAGGTAATCACGTAAGCAGCTTGACTCGTATGCTTAAAACATAGAGCGGCTGTTTCCGTATGACCCATGACGAACGTCGAAAGTTGCATTGACTATCTGCTACTTCACTAATAAAAGACTTCACTAATGTGCACCGAATTTACGAACTAAAAATTTGTGTGGTTGAGCTTTATGCAAAATAGAGAAATAATATGAACCAAACGATTCTCTACTTGATAGGATATGTGAACACTGTCTAAGGACAAACCTAAAAGGAAAGTCGGAAGATAACAAGGAACGGAGGAATGTTTTATATTGTTATTAAACTTTAGTTACAACATCGATTATAATTTCCATCAAGAGATTTTCATGAAGTATTTTAAACAAAAACATCACACAGACCCCTGGAACAGTTGGATTTTTTCTTTTAGGCCCACAAACAAAAAATGTGCAATATCATGTGTAGTTGTAATATTGGAGTTAAAATGAATGCATCTGGTTATAGCTAACATCCATTTCATTTGTTCAACAATTGGCTGGATAATTTTTAATCTACATGGAATATCATGTGTCCTAAAGGCTTTCTAGCAGTGCATTTTGTGCTTTAGCTATTTTGTGCTTTACTTTTTATTTTGTGTGATTGTGTAAAGTTTCATTAGAATGTCAACATTTTTTCTTTCTTTTGGGAACTGTTAGCATAAATTTACATAGGTTTGTATTGGAAGTGACAAACATTTAGTAATGGGCTCATGGTTTTCAATCCTTGAGTGTGCTTGAAAAGGAAATAAGAGTATATTTAGAAATAATCCATTAGGAATATGTTTCAAAAACTTTTATTTACTAATGAAATCCACTATGGCTTTCTTTGTTAATGTTATTTATTTCTTGTCATATTGCATCCATATTTTTTACGGGTATGTTTTAATATCCATTTGGACCCTTGACTATGCTTTGATAATTGATTTTAGCATTTGACTGTCAGTTTTACTATTTTTATTCCCTACCTTTTAAAATGTGCCAAATTAAATCCTGAATACGTGCCCATTTTTCATGGTTATTTGCATAGATTGCAAAATTTGTGATTTATATAGTGTGCTCATTTGCAAATATATTGCAGGCTGGCGATTTGAAATACACACTCTATGGTGTACTAGTTCATGCTGGCTGGTCTACCCACTCTGGTCACTATTACTGCTTTGTTCGCACTTCTAGTGGGATGTGGTATTCTCTTGATGATAATCAGGTATCAGAACAATTATTTTTTATTTCTATCTTGGAGTTTTATGTAGGTTAAGTAATACACTAAAACTACATATATTTCTTTGGTATACTTGTGATAGTTTTAGTGCATCCTTTTTTGAGTCTCGTACACAGTATTTTTGCTCTTTTGCCTACTGTCACATCTTTGATACTTGCAACTGCAAATGCATGTTTTCAAGCTAGATATAATTAGTTGTTGTGAGACCTCATATCAAGGATGTATATGGCATTTCAAGCCGCTCAAGCAATATTCAATTTCTCTATACCTATCACATACGTAGTATTTTTTTTAGTTCATGTGAATTTCAGTTGTTGAGAGTGGTAAAGATTAACGTAAGATGTGCATGCATTATTCATTTTACGTCCTGCTTTGTGCATTAAAGGAGTTCGGCTGGTTAGTTCATATAGTTTTAAGTTGTCTTCTTCAATCTTCAGCATTTAGTAGTATGGCTTATTCATAAGATATTAGGTTTTCTCTTTTCTGGTTGTTTGAGCATTATATTTATAAGTCATGCTGTTCATTGCTGTTGGTTTGATAATATACAATGGTCTCATTGTAGAGCCCGTTTAGTAAGAATTACTTCGTATTTGGCTAAAAGGATTGAATTTTCTGAAAGGAAAAGCATTTAGTGACTATACTGCATGATTGCTTAGTCAATTGATACTTAGTGCAGATTAAGCTGATTGATGCAACGAGACAGAGCCTTAAGTGACTATACTCCATGATTGCTTAGGTTTTAATGATTACATTCATGTCACCTCAAGCAAAATATAAATTAAAGATTGTATTTGCTGAGTTTTGTATGCTTTAATTGATGGATTTTGACTCCAAGAGAATGCATTTGTTACACAAATTGCAGGTCATCCAGGTAAACGAGAAAAAGGTTTTGGACCAGAAGGCATATATGCTTTTCTACGTTAGGGACAGGAAAAGTAATTTGCCCAAAACACAAGTTGATATTGCACATAAGGACATGAACTTAATAAATTGTATAAGAAATCAAGAAAATTCAACAAAAGGAGCTTCAATTCACAAAAACACAATGAACACCACATCGCCTAAGGAAGCTTCAATACATCAAAATACATTGAACACCACATTGCCTAAGGGAGCTTCAACACAAGCTATGCCATCATTGGAATCACCATCCCTTGTGGTGCAACCAATATCTATAAGCAAGGAGCTTAGTAGCAATCCTACAAATCCTGGAATATGTTCACCTGTATCTCATCCTACTCCGCGTAACAGCTCAGATGGAGCTCATAATCCTGGTATAGTCCAAACTGACATGAAGCCTTCTGCTTGGGTCACAAATGGTGGGGTGACAGAGGCCCCGATTCTTTCTCGGTGGAATATTCCTAAATTTACTGGTCAGGGTAAAGAGGTCGCTGACTCTATTCCACTGCCATTAAGCTGCAACAAGGATGTGATGTGTGGAAAGGATTTGAACAGTATCTCTAATCCCAAGCCAGAAGATGGGAGTCGAGCTATAAATATGTGCAGCCAGGGAACAACTATTTCGGCGAAGGTAGATTCTATTTTGCCTATGTTTTATTGGGGGTGGAATAAAACAAAGTCAACAAACTGTATGTATGGTTGGCTTAAATATGCTTTTCATCTTTGCAAATATAATGTTTTTTGGGTCCTCTTTGTTATGCATATTTGTAAAATTGTGTTTTTTAGTTCTTCTCCATCAACTTCTGCTCAAAACTGGTGTTGCTCACATAACCCCACTACATTCATTCCCATGTCAACTCCCCATAACTCATCAACTACTATATTTGGGGAGTATGGGCGAAGCAAAATTCAATATTTTAACTTTCAGTTAATGCCTCTAAATAGAAGATTAAAGTTTTTTGTTTTGGAAATGGTGGAGAAGGAAGTGGAGTTTATGTGATCAAGATCTTTTTTTAGGAGATTGCTGGAGAGGTAAAAATGAAATCCCAAACATACATATCACATATGTTCCATTGGGAAGTAGGGTCTACGTAGGGGTCTGGAGAGGGTGATATATACAATACCTTTCCTATACCCTCAAGAGTCCAAAAGCTATATCCATGAAGTCATCAGAAAAGAAATCTTTGGAAAGTTTAAGGAATATTTATAAAAATAAAATGAATCTAGAATTTTCAAAATTTTTTGCAAATAATTTGAAGTTGGAAAAAAGACTTCCAAAGATTAGAGGCAGAGAACAAATGCTTTTGGGGGTTAAAGGCAACCAGATAGTGTAAATACAGTAAAGCCTTGGGGAAAAAAGAAAAAGCATAAATTATATTTATGAATCTAAAAATAATGATTTTACATGGACCTAATGTAAAAATACCTTAAATAGCAGTGATGAAAAACGTTTTAAAACCTATTTTTACATATCTGTGATTCTTAACATTATTAGGTATTGGAGCAAAATGAGCAAACTCTTAAAGAAGCAGACCAATCGAAGTCTAAACAAGAATTCAGTGATGATGCTCAGGTCCACATTATTTTAGCCTGCATTTTGATAAAGCCTTGATGATTCTAAAATCAGTAATGGTATGTTTGGGAACATGGATTTGGATTTCAAATCCGGATTTGACTTAAATTCCATGTTTGGGAAACTTAAGCATTTTGAATTTGGATTTGAATCAAATTCTTTACATTCAAAACCAAGCTTAATTTGAAATCCATGCACCTCCCCTTGTCATTTGAAATTCAGGATTTCAAATTTTGGATTTGAAATGCATGAATTGAAATGAAATGCTAGTTGCCAAACACTACCTAAGTGATTTGAGAAATCCTTTCCTTCCCTGTTTGTGTGAAACTTACATTTCAGGTTCAAGGGTTCTCCAAAGAGAATACCACCAAGCCTGCTGGCTGTGAGACAATAAAGAGAATACCCCAGAAAAAAGAAAATAGGAAGGCTAGCCTGAAAGTTAGTGAAAAGCCTTTCACATCTCACTTCACCAACATGCGTTCCGGTTCCCTCATCTTCCTTACAGCATTATTCCCTCAGAGGAAGAGGAAACACAAACTCAGGAAACATGACAGTCCTCACAAGAATTTAAGTCATAAGAAGAGATTGAAATCTATGTCTGATGTGGAAGCTCAACCGGACACTGGACATGTGCAATGTGGAATATCTCTTGAAATAACTAAAGAGAGAACAGAGAACATTGGCACTGCACTCATTACTGATAAGCAGCTTGCAAAAGGTTCTAGCTCCACGTCACCAGAGAATACATCTGATCGTGTACAAACTAATGGTTTCAAAGACCTAAAGCAGAGTGGTGTGATGGACATGCTCACCAGAGGATTAGAAGAGACAACTGGTGAGTTATCTCTTTCAAATGCTTTTTCCACTTCCGTAAGGTCTGCATAGACACACCCTCCCCAAGCCCTACTCTCTTGGGATTCTACTGGGTTGTTGTATGCAATCTTCAATTTTACTCTTTTGCAATGTTAATTAATGAACATGTCTATCTTAAAAATTAGAAATGAAAAATTAAGGTGTAACATTGGAATGGGGGAGTACAGGACAATTGAAGCAGACTCAATATAGAATTTGGATTATCTTCATGTTGACCAAAGTGGAATACTGACCTATGTCTGTGGGGCAGGGGAAGTAGAGGAATGGGTTCAACCATTGCCATAGCACTCACTGACTTGTTTCTTATGTTATGAAGTTGCAACTTGGGATGGCATTCAAAGGTCTATGGAGGTCAGCAGAACAAGAAACGAGGATGCTAATATTGGTTACATTGGGGATGAATGGTGGGTTTTCTAGTTTACTACAGCTATACTAGATCTTATTCAGCACAAGCCTTAGTTATTGCCATATAGTTTTATTACTTGGTGGGCACGAGAATTAAACACCCCAAATATTGAATTCAACCCTAAAAGAACTCCGTGGAAGCAGATTATGTGCACATTCTCCTGAAGTAACACTGATGGTTCACACAGCATAATTCAACGTTTGGGGGACACCATAAATAACAACATGGGTTACACAACCCTTCTCCAACCATCATGAAACTATACTTCTATCCACTAATAAAGTTACATATCCATGAGAGTAATGTTTCCATCCTGAAAAAGGCTAGGGAAATGAAAAATCCCAAAGCAAGTTAATCCAAAGGAAGATTAAATGTGATCTCTCTCTCTCTCTCTCTCTCTCTCTCTTCATATATGCATATTTCTTAATAATTGTATGCTATCGAGTGGATAGAAGTAAATAAATAATTCTCTATTTAGTCTCCTATTGATAGTGCATTGGTAGGATCTTCCTAAATATAAATCAATTTTGTATTATGGGTGCATATTAAATTTGTTTTTCTACAATTGCCCCTTTTAGTTAAACCTCAAATAAGGGCATATTAGAAAATTTAAGGGCATATTGATTAAACCTCAAATAAGGTTGTTGAAACAAAGTCTCATTAAATACGGGCATATTAGAAAATTTAAGATTAACTCAAATAACCTTAATTATTTATTTAGTTGGTATGAAAGTCAACATTGCATCCTATTCACCAAATGATACAAGTTTGAACATAATAATAAGAAAGAAACTATTGCGTTCAACCTCACTTGTTTTCCCTCAAACCCCCCGAGGGTAACTTCTGAAAAGCATTTCTCATAAATTCATAGGCCGACCTAAGTAGTGATGTAATGTGTGACCACTTCCTCTTCTGCAGGGATGAGCAGTATGATCAAGGCAAGAGAAAGAAAATGAGATGTCCTAAACTTGACTTCGACGGCTCAAATCCCTTCCAAGAAATCGCGAATAAAAAGGCCAAGTGGAATAATAAAAAAGCAAAGCTCGATCACTGTCTATCTGCCAACCAACCATTCAGGATACTGTGAATGAGATAAGTATATTCATCCATAGAGAGAGAGAAAGTAATTTGTAGTGTTCCACCCCCAATTTTGAGTGTTTGGGAACATGTTTAAGTGTGTAGAGCTCTACAGTTAAGTTATGCGAAGTTACGTGAAATGTTCCTAAGATTAATAGTCTTGTATTTGAATCTCTTTCATCCCTGATTTTGGAGTATCTGAGCTTGTGGAGAAGGTGATTGATATCCTACATTAAAGGTGCGAAATCATCGCATATGTTCCCTTGATCTCACTATGTTGTACTATTGTACTCCGTATTTAACTAAGCAATGCTTCAGTTTTTTGGTCTGTCGTACAATTTATGTCCATTTTTAGTTTATACTATTTGACGAGATTCCATACAACGATGATACGATTACTTTTTCAACGTTACTTGTGTTTATTTTTGTTTGCCACAATGTTCTTAAATTTGGATTTTTTTTTGCACATTAGGGTAGTGGTTTTTTTAAGTGCTCCTTATGTTTTTTGACTCTACAATAGTCATACAAATAGACATTTTGACCTCTTTTAGAGATCAACTCGATTCTATATTTTCATGCTACACTATCTCTTTCTATCATCAGATTTTTTTCTAACATGTAAATTAGGATTCTCCTATTGTGATATTTGTGTAAGAAAAGACATTACAATGGATAAGAGATTGGAGTTAAATGATGGCCAGGGAATAGGATGAGGGGGAAGGGGAAATGAGAGAAGATTAAGGCCATGTTCTCTTCACCTTTGAATGGTTATGTTCTCTTCACCTTTGAATGGTTTTGATCTGATCTAATATTTATTTTTAAAGCTTATTCTGATCTAATTTAATTTGATTTCAATAAGATATACTCCGTAATACGTAAAAAAATAAATTGAAGAGAAAATGACCTAATTAGAGAGATGGGTGGAATAGAATATAGATGAATGTAGGGGAATATCATTTTGCTAGAGAGAAATTCTTTTATTGATCCATTGTGTTTTTAATTTTTATATTTTTCTTTTGTATTGATAAGAATATAACATCTAAAAAATGATATTGAAGAAAAGTAAAGGAATGATTAGAGGGTGGGGAAAATCGAAGGAGAAAATGACGTGACATCAAAAAGTAGATGATGCAAAAGAGAAAAGAGAAGAACGACTAGTGATGCTTTAAAGAATAGTTACTAACATGTTTTTTTCCCTCAAAAAACATGCTTTTTCATTTCTAAATTTTAATTTAACATTTTGACTTCGCGGGGTTTATAAAAATGGTAAAAAAACATATTCTGTGTGATTATTTCGTGAAAAAAAAGGCATCATTGAAATTTATTTTAAAGAAAGAGAAATAAAGTTGTCCACATATTTATCTTCTAAAAAAAGTGTAGAGTAATAAAACTAGTTTTTAGTTATTGTAAGGTGAAAAATGTATAGTTGATTTGGAAACAGGAAATTATGTAGTTCTTTCATTCTAAAATTATTTTTTCCTTTTTTATTTGGATCATCACATAATTTTATTGTGATTTATTTTTGAGAAATGCTAAAGCCACTAGCACAGTAGCACGTTAGTCACTAAATACACAATCTTATTTCATATTCCATCCATCCCATAAACAAAATTTATGTTTACTTTTTTAGTCAAATCATGATACTTTTTTACTACACAACAATAATTTAACAACTTTTAAGATAAAAATTTAATATATAAAAATTTTATAATTTTTATTTATGTGAAATGTAATTTGTAATAAAAAACGGTACGGAGTACTTGGTATCACACTTTAACAAAAAAGTCAAAATAATTCTTAATTTAGGACATAATCCTAAAGACCATATGCGAGAATTATAAGCTTTTTCTATTTTTCTAGAGCTGACAAGTGAATTTTTTGTTTTTATAAAAAACTCAATTCTTTTATTATATAAATATATTAAGGTCTATAAAATGAAAAAAATTGAGTACTCTTTCCGTCTCTAAAAGATTATCACAATTTGATTTTTTTGGTCAAAATGTAACACGCTTTGATCGCGAATTATGAAAAAAAGTATATTTGGTAATAATGTATATTTAGTAAAATTGCATTTATTTTAAAATATAGTTTTAAGTGTCAAATATTATAATATTTAATTATTTGAAAAAATATTTAATTTGTGATAAAAAAGTGACACAGCTTGCAAAAAAAACTAAAGTGTGATAATATTTTAAGGATGGACGAAGTACAATAATTAGGAGTGTGAGACTAGTAGATTATTGTAAGTGGACTAATTGGAAATTCTACCGTTTTTGGTAGGGGTGGGCACGGATCGGGACGGTCCGGATTTTAGGTTGTCCCACGTCTTGTCCCGTTATATATAAACGGTCCGGAACGATTCGGATTACAATCTTATCCCGGTTTGTCCCATAAAATTTGGGATCGGAATAAAACGGGACGGATTCGGGTCGTCCTACGTTGTCCTAATCGCAAACATAAGAAGGGGAAGAGGGTGAAATTTCATTCAAAAAAGAGAAACATCTAGCTTTCAACAAAAAACAATGAGTGGAACGGGTCCAAATAAATTCCAAGCTCATGAAGTTAATTTAATTAAATAACTAATTAATTTAAGAATGAGTGTATTTGGATTTTGGACTAGAATTAGTATTATATGGAGTATATTAGTAGAGTAGATGAAACGGGACAAACGGAACGGATCGGTATAAATTTAGCTTGTCCCACTCATGTCCCATTTGATATTAGGACGGAACGGATTCGGGACAAAAAAAATATGTCCCAATATATCGGTACAATTACAAAACGGATTCGGGATTTTTCAGAAAGGTCCAACTGGAACGGATTTCAGGCCCACCCCTAGTTTTTGGAATTCACTCCTAATCTCCATTCCATTTCATATCTTCTCCGATCTCCATTTCTGTATCGCGAAGAAGAACAGGATGGTGGTTGTTACTGCGGCTCGAGACTACATCAATCGCATGCTACAGGACATTTCTGGAATGAAGGTCCTCATTCTCGATTCCAACACGGTCGGTCACCTTCCTCCTCCTTTGAATTGATTTCATCAAAGAGATAACTGGTCTCAGTTAACTGTGTTCTACTCGTTCGGATCTCGGGGCTGTATAAAACAACTAGTTACCCAGAGTTTACCTTCTTCGATAGAAACTTAATTATGCATTTTCAATTCATCAGAGATGGAAAATTTGATTTATGCATTTTCAATTGATGAATTTCATTTCCCCCCTCCCCCGCATGTATTTTGCCTTTGAAATTGTAAGCAACTGCGGAGGAAAATGTTATTTTTCCCATCACTGATAAATTTACAAAGCTTAAATCCCTCCGTCCTGATGTTTTTGTCATTTAAGATGTTTGACGTTGGCTTTTTTTAATGGAATTTGTCGAAATATTGGTGTATAATTTAAAAATAAAAATCATAACAACTTTGAATGAACAAGAGCTGACATGTATTGTAACAAATGACAATTGAAAATATGTAAAGAAAGAAAGTTTAGTTTGACCCTATGAATATATGAAATGAAAATAGCTGGATAAAGGGGGTATAGAGTTTAAGAAGACTGAGCTGAAAGCTCTGGGAATGAATGAAGCATGAGCTGTTTATTAATGAAGCTCTGGGAACTGGTGGAGTCTATCTCTCTGTCCAAAGAACCAATGTCGCATCTCAAAGCAGTCTATTTTCTGAGGCCAACATCAGAGAATATTCAACACATGCGTCGTCAACTTGCAAAACCTAGGTTTGGAGAATATCACCTATGTAAGTATCATGTGAATGAAGTATCTACTTTAAATGTATGCTGAGGAAGTGCTTACTACTTTTTCGATAAGTTTAAGAACATAATTCGGCACTTAGAAATTATAATATGCATTAAGACTTCACTGTAAAATAAAGTTTAACCAAAGACATTGACTGGTTGTGCAGTTTTCTCAAACATAATGAAAGACACTCAGATTCATATTTTAGCTGATTCAGATGAAGGTGAAGTGGTGCAGCAACTTCAGGTACATTAAGATTCCATGTAAAGAACTAGTTTAGATGATTTATCATTATTTGTAATATCTAACGGTATTCATCACACAAAAACTATGTCTGGAAAGTAGTGTTAAATCTTACAAAAGCTAAAAAGGTTTTAAATAGAACTATAGAAGTATCACATTATTCATATATGGCCTATTTGGTTTAAATAGAACTATAGAGATGTAATGTTTACCGGTAGTGCTATTGTATCATTTGTGTGGTCCGCGTACATCTCTACTGTGTTTGTTTGGTTTGGGTTATATTTTTCTTTGAAAAAAGATATTGTGTCTTAACAGTTATTTATTTTATTTATAGGAATTTTATGCAGACTTTGTTGCAGTTGACCCCCACCATTTCACTCTTAATATCGCGTCAAATCACATGTACATGCTTCCAGCAGTTGTCGATCCCTCAGGTTTGCAGCGTTTTTGTGATAGAGTGGTTGATGGACTTGCTGCTCTTTTTCTTTCTTTAAAACAAAGGCCTGTTATTCGATATTCACGGACATCTGACATTGCTAAAAGGGTAGCGCAAGAAGCAGCGGTGAGCTAGCTAGCTAAATTTTGATTGATATTTTTGTGGATAATTTGGCCTTTCATATCTTTTACTTTTTGGAAGAATTGTAGGAATTGATTACATTCACTATTATCTTCTGTCTACAACTCAGCTTAGCAAAGTCCAAATATACGAGCAAGGGCTTAGAGCCTTAGACAGTTGAGTTTGGTTACTGAGTTGCACTGGGAGGATGCTCAATGAGTGTGCATTAATTTTTGAAAAAGATGAACTATCTTTCTCTCCTCGGTTTGCAGAAACTGATGTACCAGCAGGAAAGTAATCTTTTTGAATTCAGACGGCCAGATGTTTCCCCTTTGTTGCTAGTAGTTGATAGGAGGGATGACCCTGTTACTCCGCTACTTAACCAATGGACCTATCAGGTATTTCATTTCTTGGTGACCTGGCCCCACCGCCCTACACAGTTGTATATATCTTGTAATTTTAATGGACCCACCTTGTTCTGTTTTCATAGGCAATGGTTCATGAATTAATAGGCATCCAAGACAATAAGGTTGATCTTACAAGCATTGGCAATTTTCCTAAGGATCAGCAGGTTCAATGTAATTTACTCTTGTAGTACCTCTTTGTTTCCTAATGTTTTGTGAATCTATATATATCTGGGTAGTCTCAATTTCTCTTTATATTAGGAGGTTGTACTGTCATCAGAGCAAGACACATTTTTCAAAGCTAATATGCACGAAAACTTTGGAGACATAGGAATGAATATTAAACAGATGGTGGACGATTTCCAACAAGTTTCAAAAAGTAATCAGAACATACAGACAATAGGTATGCATGCAGAAGAACTTCTAAGTTTTATTGTTTTTTCTTCTTGCATCATAACATCTATGACTTGCACTAAAATGCTATCAACCTTTCAGAGGACATGGTTAAATTTGTAGACAACTATCCAGAGTACAGAAAAATGCATGGCAATGTTTCTAAGCATGTAACCCTAGTTACTGAAATGAGCAAGATAGTTGAAGAAAGAAAATTAATGTTAGTCTCACAAACAGAACAAGAATTGGCTTGCAATGG